CACCTATTCTAAAATGGTCCATTTTATCTTTTTGCAGCTTTCTCAAAAGTGTTATCAATATTAAAATGCACATCCACAAAGTGAAATAAATAAGAAAAGGGTATAAATATTCCTCATTTTATTAATTGTTCCTCTCACTGAGTTAGTTAATTGTCTGCTTACTGCTTAGAGACATGAAGAGCTCTGTGTAGCTTGAAAGCTTTTCTTTCACCAAGAGAAATTGGTCCAATAAATAATCCTCACCCATCTTGTCTCTCTAATATTCTGGGACCAACACAGCTACAACACTACTTACTGCTCTGACTCTTGTGAGCAGAATACACAAATCCCTAGTGCAATATGGGTGATATAGAAACGTATTATACATTGTCATTCAAAAACTTAGAAGTTAATACATCTTCAGTAGTGGAACTTCAAAAGTATTTAAAGGGACACTGTCAACTTAGTTCAAAATTTACATTTTTAACAACAGAAATGCTGTAACATTATTAGAAATAAAATTTCAAGGAAATAAGTTGTTTTAAAATGTAAATTTTGAATATTTGAAACTCAATTTTTGAAACTCAATTACTGTAGCATTTAAGAACACATAAGCAAGTAAACTTGAAACAAAAGTGAAACTCACCACATTGATTTTCATTATCTAAACAGAAATATGTGCAAAGAATAAATGCAGCATGAACTAAAGTAATCTGTCACTTAATAAAGTGTTCTTCACCTAGATAAAGGAATGTTGATTACATCTTCTCTTTAAGTTCATGATGCTTGTAAGCAGGTTCAAGCGTTTTTTTAGTCTGTGAGGAAAAATTGCTCTATCTAAAAATAAAATGAAATGTGGTAGCCAACTAGGCGATAAGACTAAATTTTTGATATTTGGAATACCTGAGATTAAATTCTGAAAGCTATCTACTATGCATATTGTGACATTGCACTCCATATGATTTTATGAAAATATGCTAATGAGTGTGAATATAATGTAACTGGAATATGCTTCATGCAAAAGGTCTCTTGTAAGGTATCATTACAAAGCTTATAATCTACTGAGTGTGGTCATCCTATTTGTATAAATGTATCATTCTTGTATCTGGAACTAGAAATATGAAATATAACTCTGAGGTCCTATTGTAATTATGCAAAGTGTGGGCCATTAATGGTGGTTTGGAATCTTGATGGCTCCCATCAGCTAGGACATTTGGTTGTAAATGGCTCTGTTTATTTGAAAGCATTCCTGTGAGTCAGGCCAGGAAGAATGAAGGCTCGGGGTCTCACAGGACATGTGACCATGTCACCTGGTACTGAAATCCACCTTAAACCTGGTGCTTTTCCATTCAGAGAAACAAAGGATTCCCATCTTGTGCCAAAGCTATTAAAGGGGGTGGAACAGAGCAAAGAGGACTGTAGACATGAGAAATCCTCTACCTACCACCTGAGCTGGAACAAGGACTGTACCAGGGGAAAGGATTGGGCCCCGACTAGAAAGGAGTCTAGTCTGTGAAAGAAGCTTACTGGAACATCTCAGAGGGTGAGATTTACCTGTATTCAGTTTCCTACAGTATTAGGCCTAGATGTGCGTGTTTTTGTTTTATTTTGCTTGGTAACTTACTTCGTTCTGTCTGTTATTACTTAGAACCACTTAAATCCTACTTGTTATACTTAGTAAAGTCACTTTTGTTTATTAATTAACCCAGAGTAAGCAATTAATACCTGGGGGAGCGAACAGCTGTGCATATCTCTCTATCAGCGTTATTAGAGGGTGAAGAATTTATGAGTTTACCCTGAATAAGCTTTATAAGAGTAAAACAGATTTATTTATTTGCATTGGGAACTGGGTATCTGAGTGCTGGAGACAGGAGCACTTCTTAAGCTGTTTTCACTTAAGTCTGCAACTTAGGGGTGCGTGGTTCAGACCCTGGGTCTGTGTTGGAGCAGACTGGCATGTCTGGCTCAACAAAGCAGGTTTCTGGAGGCCCAAACTGGCAGAGAAAATGGGTTCAGAAGTAGTCTCAGCACATCAGGTGGCAGTTCCAAGGGGGTCTCTGTGACCAGACCCATCACACCTATATATGCCGCTTTTCATTTCCTTATACATAGTTCAGGGTTGTCATTCATTTCAATAAGAGCAGCATTACAAATCTTTGTATTTTTAAAAATAATGAAAACCCTTTCTTAAATAGATCAGTAGTATAGGTCTGACTTCCGTAGTTGTGTACAGCAGTGCAAAGCCAGTGTAAAATGCTGCTGTTTTGATTTGGTAGAATTTTACTGTACTTACTTTCCATTTATATTAATTACAACCGCAGGTGAAAGGCGTGGAGAATTAGGCCCATAGTATCTAAGCACTAAACACAAATTATTTAGATTTCCAAAGCACTTCTGGAAAGCAGGGAGACATCTGCTTCCTAGAGAGACATCTGCTTCTGCTCTCTGATAATAAGATTACTTAGAATCATTGTCAACAGAGTGCTGATTCCCTGAGAGGTGTAATATATAACACTGTGGAGAGAGGAACAGGACAGGAGAGTAGAGGCATGCCAAGTTGTATCCTCTCCTGCTAGATGATGGCTGAAGCCAACCTTTTCCATTATCTTGGGAGACATCAACTGAAATAAGCCACCTTTCTTAGTTTGGGTCTTAAATGATATTCCTTGTAAGTCTATTGTAAAGTGCACTTATTGAGGTCTTGAACTCAATGTGTGCGAAGCGCCTTACATGACCTACCACTGCTCTGACAGTCCTGTCGTGTAATATATTTGATGTGAAATAAGATTTTTTTAGGATGCTAACTTCCATTCAAATGAATAGAAGAATTGTTCAAGCTATCCACATCTCAACTTCATCAAGATTTGATTTGATCAAATTATTGTACTGCAATTAATGTACTGCAGGTACAGAGACTGTACGGGCAAGGCTATGTGAGAGAATATGTATCTACCCTCTGTTTAACTAATGCATGGCAGAACTTGTATTATAGTTGTAGACCAGTACATGTTTGAGAGTTTGGAATTTCCTGACAGACCCGAACACTGAAGTTTCTATTTTTTTTTTTTAAATTCTTTTTAAAGCTAAGTGCAGAGTGATCAGCCGATCTGACATCCATTCAATTGTAATGGACTGAGAAAACAGAAAACTAAGAAAATTGGCCTGACAAAGTGTTAAATAACATCACAAAAATTAGAGGTGATTGGAATACTTCCATCAAAATTAAATTAGCAAAATATAGAAATAAAATCTTAACATTGTAGTGTTTTCTTTAATGGTTTATGGCCACGCTGTTGAAGATCAGCGTGCTTCAATGCATTTTATTCTAGAGATAATCAGTGTGTCTGCTGGCTCACATTACTGTCTTCCAGATTATTTTCCATTGTTACAGACTAGATAAATTCTCCTCCCTTTTTTAGACAAGTAATTTTTGAGAGCGATTTTAAGAGTCAATCAAACCAATAGAAAAGGTCTATTGTGGTTGGTACAAAAGGTCCAGGACAGTCATATTGAAAGGCCTGTCACGGTGAACCATGGAGAAAGCCCTGAATTGTTTTTCTCTAACCACTATAAGAGACTTGGGGGTAGCCCATGTAAAAAGACTGTGGCAGACATATAATTAGAATTGGAAAAAAATGATAACCAGACATGATAATTTCCCTTCCTGTGTTTAAGAGTAGTATTATTCCCCTCAAAAGCATGGCTGCTGCCTTTTCAGACTTTACCTGTTTCCAATTTAAGACTACAAATAAAATGTGAAAACAAGATGCTTTTAAAATATATATATCTGAAATGGGCCTTTCCATTTTATTATAAATTAGGAAAGAGTCAACTGCAAACAAAAATTCTGAATCTGAAGCCATTCCTTTAGTTTTTCACACAGGCTTCAGTACACAATCTGTTCATCCCATCTCTAAATAGAATAAGACTCCAAAGTGATTATACATGTTTTTCATGCTCACAATATTGCAAATTTTTTTTTACAACTTAATGAATGTGATACTGGCTTTTCAACTAAATACAGAAGTCATACTAATTAGCAGCTATTCTCAGAGGTTTGACACTGAAGGTTTCATTCTTCCCTTCCCCACTGAAAGGAGAAGAGTTTTGCCATTAGCATCACTAGGAACAGGCTCAGGCACTAGAAACTATTTGAGCTAGAATGATATTCAGAACACTGGAGGTATATACTCTAGGGAAAATAGTAGGAGATCTTGGCCTCCTACTTACAGAAGAATCCCTATTTTATGAACTAATAAGGGATTGAGGAGCTCCTAAAATCAAAGGTTTAAGATTGAACATCTCAGAATTACATCAGGTATGATGTATCAGTTGCAGTATGGTGCACTGCATCACTTTCTTCTTGTCCTTCAAACCCCTACAAAGTGATTTTTAATGCACTTAAGGCACCAGAAGTTGAAGAGATGTCAACTTGTTCTTCATCAACATCACTTTTGTTATATTTTGTTTTGTTTCTTTTTTCTATCAAGGGCAAAATGGATCATATAGCCAGTCATTCATAAGACTGGAGTTCACAAAATTGTGGTTCTTCTGGAGTTACCCAATATAGATCAGCAAATGAGATCTTGGCTTTGATGGTTGTGTTGAAACTGCATTCATTTTAAAATTATGGGTGGTTGGATAGGCCAGATATATTATTTGAAGTCTTCATAAATACTAGACAGATGCTGACAGGTCAAAAGAGATCAGAAATAAGCAAAATAATTATGGAGATAGATGGAACTGTGTAAACAGTGCATTAAATACAGCAAAGGATATAATAGTATAGAAAGAGTGTAAACACCAAGGAGAAACTTTAAAAAAAAAACACCTTACTCTAGCTGCATTCTGATTTCACTTGGTTCCTGTTGGACCACTCCAAAGGCAAATATTTGCTTTTCAGAAGTGTTCTTAATGGGATCCAGAGATAAGTCAACTCTAGCAGAAGTTAATAGCAGTCAGTGAGAGGGTGTAATTCATTATCTAATGATATAGTGAAATCATTAGTCTTGTTAACCCACCTTCTTCACACCTGAGAAATCTTCAGATTCCCCTCTCTGTGGTATAGTTCCTGCAGGGAACATTACCATGGACCTCCGAACACACTTCTCTGGAACCTAGGTAGCAAATAAGAGATACATGATTAGAGATTTTTTTTGTTTAAATTAAAAAAAAGTTTCAATAACTGCCAGTCACATATTAATGGTGGATGTCAAAATATATTACTAGGTACAGTACTAATGAATTGGGCAGGAGGGAAGGAATTGCAGAGGCTCCCTAGACATCTTACTGCAAGGAGCAGTGTCGGAGCATAACTCTAAGGGATGCACATGCAGAGTCTCACCTAGGTAAATACAACTGAAAATACTGAACTAATCTGTGAGGACTAGTAACCTAACACCAAATTATATTTAGTATTATCTAACAATTAAATTGTATAATATAGAATGTAGCACAATCTACTACAATTACTGTAGAAATCTATTCAATTCACTGCGATCAGGCATGTACCTACTACAAGTGGTTATGTTCAGACCTGTGGGATAGGTCCCACTGTAGCGCTCCTGAAATGCTTGCATGGAGTGAACTATAGGGATATGTGTCAGTCCTGCATCCACAATAGTGTATCTAATATGGATGCACTGCACTGTTGCAGCTTGCACAAGTTCAGTCATACCAAATGCAAGTTGCAAGGATAGTTCGCAGCACAGACAAAGCTAGAGATGTTAATGTGATTTCCCTGGGGCCGCATAATGAATGAGTGGCAGAGCCAGGATTAGAATATGGGAGTTTGCAGCTCATAGGCCTTTGCTTAATCCATTGGACCCTGTTGCCTTTTGGGAACCCCATCTTCTCTGATCAGTGCAGTCCTGAACTAGTGAAGTTAGTCAGTAGGGGTCTGATTGTACTGATCTAACTCTAGGCAACTGTATTACATTTTTTCCCCTGCTTGTGAAACTTTTACAATCAGTTTCTGTAAACAGGATTTTTGAAGTTTCCTAGTGTATGCTGACTTTAAGAACAGCTATTTTTCTAAAACTTGCAGAAATTTACCAATCCAGGGACAGTCTCCTTGCCTGTGCTTCATCATGAACATAATGGGAAATATGTATTTCACCCCTGTCCAAAAACATTACTGTTCCCATATAATGTTTTTGAAGAGTTGTTCAATCAGTCACAGATTGTACAGTGACTTCCTCTTAGCTGGGTGGTGAGCCTGACTCCCTGATAAAGAAATTTACTATCTCTCCATCTTTCTGTCTCTCATCTGTCTCTAGAGGTGTAGCAGTTATACCACCATATCGGTTTCTGAGGTCTGACCCAGTCTCACTCAGGTTACCAGAAACTCAGAGTTGTTCTTGAAGTTTGGCCTGGGAGATACACAACCCTTTGTGGCATCAGATGTATCTACCGAGGGTGTTACCTAAGCACAGTTACCTGTTGCTCCCTGCAGGCACCAGATTAGGAGGGTGAGTGTGCTTGCTTTTTACTGCAGAACCAGCTTCTTCAACAGCTGTGCTGTCTTGTGATTTCCCTTGCTCTAACCTCTAAATGTGGCCCCTCTTTCAGCAGCATCTCGGCTCCCTCAAATTAGGCCAGCCCTGGGCACAAATGACCTGCTACTCCCAATCTCCTACCTTCCAAATCCCTCTGTATCCAAGCCACCTAAACCTGGGTTATCAGCTTGAACTCCACCAACTTCCTTTACTTGCAGTACCAACTGCTCTATTTATAGCCCTCTGCACCTGGAACAAGGCCTCCAATCCTCACTTCCCCACCCCCACTAGCCAAAAACCCTGACCACTACTGCCCTCACTTCTTTTGTTGGCCTTCTTAATATCTGATTTTTACTGCTCTCTCAATCTGATACCATCAACTGCCTTCCCCCTCCTTGACCCTAGACTCCAGCCGTTCCCATTCCCTGCACCCCCATTTTTTTGCCTGTCTCCAACCTATGGATCCTCCAACCCAACTGACTACAGGCTCTGCCACCTGTACTCCTTTGTCCCGTTGCTTCCTAACCTCAAACACGTTCTGTTCCTTCAGCACCCTTGCACCAAACCAACATCTCCACTCCTTGAGCTCTAACACTTCATGCAACAGCTGCTCCAGTCATATCTTCAAGCTATCCCAATCCCTTCTCCTTCCATTCACCAGTAGTTGCTGAGAAATAAGCTCCCATCATCTACCACAACTTACTGAGGCCCAAGCCCCAACTCTGCTCCCCACCTGCCCCTGGCTTCTCCAGTCTGCCACTATTCCCCCTTTTTCTGGTCTCCATCAAGATGCTTCTGCGCTAGGGTTGCCAGCTGTCCAGTTTTTGACTGGAACGCCCGGTCAAAAAGGGACCTTGGTGACTCCAGTCAGCACTGCTGACTGGGCCATTAAAAGTCCACTTGGAGGCATAGCGGGGCTACAGCAGACTCCCTGGCTCTGTGCAGCTCCTGGAAGCGGCTAGCATGTCTGGCCTGTAGGCGCAGGGGCAATCAGGGAAGCATCATGTGCTGCCCCTGTCCCCACAGCTCCCATTGGCCAGGAACCACAGTCAATGGGAGCTGCGGGGACAGCACCTGCCTGGCCATGCCTCTGCCTAGAGGCCCGGACATGTTGGCTGCTTCCAGGAGCAGCGCAGAGCCAGGGCAGGCAGGGAGCCTGCCTTAGCCCTGCTGACTGGGAGCCACCTGAGATAAGCGCCACCCATCCAGACCCCGCACCCTGAACCCCCTGTCCCAGGTCGGAACCCCCTCCTGCACCCTAACTCCCTCCCAGACCCTGCACCCCCACTTGCATCCCAGCTCCCTCCCGCACCTAACCTCCCTCCCAGAGCCCATACCTCACACCCCCTCCCACACTCCAAACCCCTTGGCCCCAGCCCAGACCCCCCCCTTGTACACCACAAAACCATCATCCCCAGCTGGAGCCCTCACCCCCTCCCACACTCCTGCCCCAGCCCAGTGAAAGTAAGTGAAGGGGGGAGGCCTCAGGGCAACCCTATTCTTGCTCCACAAGTTGGCAAGCCTATTCTGTTCCCCAGCCCTATTCCCCTCTGATATCTCCAGCTTTCCCCACCTCCTTTGAAGCATTCCAGAGGCCTGTTAGTTTCCAGGAGTGCCCATTCCCTCCTCCTCCTCCTTCAGGGCCCTAGCAAGGGGGAAAGCCATGGCCTCTGTCCTGGGGTTGGGGAGGCTACAACCCTTCTTTCCTCCCGAAAAGGGCACTCTGTGGCTGTGACCTAAAGAATCTGTATCTCCTCTGTGGGCTTCTCTCCAGGCACAAGAAACACCCTCAGCGTGGGTAGCCCTGGGATAGGGGGGCTTCTCTGAATAGTGGGTAGGAGAGGATTTAAGGGCCAGCCTAGGCACACGGCAGGGCCTAGGACAGGACTCACCTGGGCCTTAGAATCCTTATTGTTCCCGCCCCAGGAGTGACTCTGCAGGGATTCAGAGTTAGCAGCCCTGTTAGTCTGTATTCGCAAAAAGAAAAGGAGTACTAGTGGCACCTTAGAGACGAACCAATTTATCGGAGCATAAGCTTTCGTGAGCTACAGCTCACTTCATCAGATGCATCCGATGAAGCGAACTGTAGCTCACGAAAGCTTATACTCAAATAAATTGGTTCGTCTCTAAGGTGCCACAAGCACTCCTTTTCTTTTTGCAGGGATTGCACAGACTAAGTCACTACCTCCCCCTTCTGCCTCTGGTCTCCCGAGTCCCACCCACCTCGCCCCCGGCTCTTCCTGCGCTGCCCTGCCACTCACTCCACCTGCTCCCGCTTGTCCCCGCTCCCCCCCCCGATCGAGCCGGTCCGCACGGTGACAGGGGCAGCAGGGCCCTGCTGCAGCTCTGTAGCGACGCGCGGTGGCCCTCGACTGGTAAGAGCTCGTCACCATCCGCCAGCTGCACTGAGGAGCGCACCGCCCAGCCTGCCTGCCCCTTTGATAGACACGGGACTTGGCGGTGGAGGGGTGGCTGCTTCCTAGCCTCATGCCAAGGTTCTCCACGCCCCTAGGCAACGGGTGACGACACACAATCGTCATCCTCTGATTGGTCCTTTGGGTTGCAGGGCGGAGTCGATCCCCAGATCACGTGAGGCTCCCCTCAGCCCGTTGGGCACGGAGGCTGCCTCCCTCCGCCTGAGGACGGACCACGTGACCCCAGTGTTTACATCCTCTCAGCTGGTAGAACCCCTCCCCCTCCCCCGCAGCCTCTCACGTCAACACAAACAGTGGAGAGCGAGCGCGTGCGGGGGGAGCGCAGGGCTAGTGCTACGGGCCTGCCCCTCCCCCACCGGTCCGCGAGCAGCTTTCCCCCGGCCGGGGACCTGGAGGACGCAGCGGAGGGGTGAGTGCCCGAGGGCGGCGGCGGGGAGGCGCTCGGATGCCCCGGGGAGGGTCCCGGCGTGGATTGGACCCGAGGGGGGCTGGCGCGGCCGCCGCGGGGCTCGGTGGCTGGGGAGGGGGCGCCCGGATGGTCCCTACGCCAACCGCGGTGCAGGCAGAGCGCTACCCCCCGGCCCCCGCTCGGAGTCTGACCCCCCCGCCGCTCACCCCGTTCCGCTTTCCCCTGCGGGTCGGGCGGTGGTTGTTGTTTCGTACTTTGGACTCGCCGCCCCCTGCCCTGGCACGTCGGTTCAGGGCTGGACGCGGGCGGGCCGGGGGGGGGCAGTGGCGAGACAGCCCCCGAGCGAAGGGGGCGCTGCGCAGGTCGGCCCGGCGCAGCAGTTTGGCAGGCGTGTACGGGACTCGAGCGGGTGGAGTTTGGTAGGTTTGGGGGTTGAAGGGTTTGGTCTCTTGGCTGCTTCTCCCCGCCCCCCCCCCCGCCCGCCAGTCAAAGTGGGGTGGCTTTTGGGGGGTGGTTCTTCTGCACCGTTTGGTTTGCGGGAGGAGAAATCCCCGAGAGTGGGGCTGATTTGCCCTGTCTGGAGCCGTGGAGGGGGGCGCTTGCAGGGAGAGGAACTGAAAATAGGATTCAGAGGAACAGCCGTGTTAGTCTGTATTCGCAAATGGGACCCTATATCTCCTGCTTACACGACAGTGGGTAAAGATGTGTGTCTCCTCCCCTCCCCCGCCTTTGCCATAACCCACATTGTGTCTCTGTTTACGGTGTGGTGTCGCTGCTTTGGCTCAGAACAACGTAGGGGGAGAGGGAGGAACTGGCTTCAGAACAGTCACCTTGCTTCTTCCCTGTGTTTTCTTTGTTGTCTTTTCAGGTGGGAGGGTGGCTTGTGATGATTCAGATTCTACCTGTCGCTCCCACTCTGGCCTGTGGGTTTAGTTGTTTTGGGGTTTTTTTGGTTTTTTTTTTGCCTCGGTGGAGCTGTCGGCGGCTCACAGTGAAGTTGGAGATGAGGAAGCTGGTGCTGGCGGGAGGAATCATCCTGGCATTTATTTGATACGGAAGCAGCAGCTTAGGCCTCGTTTCTGTAGTCTCCTCTTCCTACCTGTGTGGCAGAGGGTGTGGTCCATAATTCTGATATACTCCAGCCCCAAGGGAGAAAGCAAAGGAGAAAACATGTGTTTAGAGTTTGTGAGAGAGATGGAATCACATCTCTCTGTGTCTGCTGGGTATGTGTGTGTCTCTGCAGTGCCTGCTAGCACCTTACAGTTACTGTCCTCACTAATCTCCACTGAAAAGTTGGAGTGATAGTAGCATGGGTAGGCATATTTATGCTATCTTGAATCTAGATAGTATGGGTAACAATAGTGGCGAAGACATGGCAGCATGAGCTAGTAATTCTAGTTGATTCTAGACCCCTGCCTACCAGGTTAACTCAAGCCTGCTGTTGCTTTAGGGTTACCAACTTTCTAATCCCACAAAACCGAACACCCTAGCCCTGCCCCTTCCCCAAGCCCCGCCCCCCCCGCTCACTACTTTCCCCCTCACTCACTTTCTGAGGGATCTAACTGGGGGTGTGGGCTCTGGGGTGGGGCCAGAAATGAGGGTTTCAGAGTGTGGGAGGGGGCTCTGGACGGGTGCAGGGTGTTGGGGTGTGGGAGGGAGTGAGAGCTCCGGCTGGGGGGGGTGGAGCTGGGAATGAGGGATTTGGGTGCAGGAGGGGGCTCCAGGCTCAGGGGGTGGAGTAGAGGGCTTTACGGTGTGGGAGGGGGCTCTGGGATGGGACAGGGGGTTGAGGCGCAGGCATACCTCTGATGGCTCCCAGTCAGCAGAGGGCAGGGGCTAAGGCAGGATTCTTGCCTATCCTGACTCCTAGCTGCTTCCCAGAAGCGGCCAGCAGGTCCAGGTCCTAGGCGGAGGCGCGGCAGGTGGTTCTGCACGCTGCTCTTGCCCATAGGCACCACTGTGCAGCTCCCATTGGCCGCGGTTTGCAGCCAGTGGGAGTGCGGAGCTGGTGCTCGGGGCAGCGGCAGCGTGTGGAACTTGTGGCCCTCCTGCCTAGGAGCTGGACCTGCTGGCCGCTTCCAGGATGCAGTGCAGAGCCCGGACAGGTAGGGACTAACCTGCCTTATCTGTGCAGCACCTCTGACTGGACTTTTAATGCCCCGGTTGGCGATGCTGACCACCAGGATCCCTTTTGGACTGGGTGTTTCGGTCGAAAACCAGACACCTGGTCACCCCATGTTGCTTTTGTTGCAAATATATAACAACTCGCCTTGATGAGCAGGCACAATTCCCATTAATGACAATAAATAGACTTTTGGGTCCATTCAATGACACAGATAAACACAATGAACTACACAGTCAGCATTTTTGTATTTTATATACAGTGCACGCAAAAATAAGTTAAAATAACATTAAGGTAGCAAAGTCATGTGCTCAAAAGTTATGCATACTTGTATTTGATGTGTAAATATGAGAATCAAGGTTGCCTGTGCTTTTTAGCTTTTCTCTATTTGAATCAGATGACTTCCTCCATGCAGTCTGGGTGCTAGTTGGTTGGGGATGTCATTAAACATGGGAGAGACGGGCTCACTGCCTTCATGTGCAGTGCCCAGCCTCCCCCTGGCTCTGAGCAGCCAGTGCAAGAAAGTTCAGCTTCATCCTGTAGTCCTGGGCTGGAGTATGATTCATCACTGTGGGGATGGTGCATGTGCAGTCTGGTCAGTACTCGGAGCTGAAAGGTTTGAGCATGCTCACTGAGGATGGACTCTTTGGAGCTATTAGCAGCTAATGTCTAAGTCTCTACTGAGTCACTCACAAGGGTCTTTTTCCCCAACTTGCAGAGCTGATTGTGGCTTTCTGGAGCCAGCCAGTGCCTATTATTAACTTGTTCATATAACAGTAGGGCCTTGAAATCCCCACCAAGAGCAAGGTACCATTGTGCTAGGTGCTGTACATACACATACAATAGAACCTCAAAGATATGAACACCAGAATTATGGACTTACTGGTCAGCTGGACACCCTGTGGAACCGGAAGTAGTCAATCAGGCAGCAGCAGAGACAAAAACAAACAAACAACCACCCCCCTCCTCCAGCAATACTGTACTGTCTCAGGGCTTTAGCCAGGGAAGGAGTGGGGTTGGGCTGCAGCCGCAGGGTATGTGTGTGGTGGTGGGCAGGGTTCCGGGCATGGGGTGGGGGTCAGGGCTTCTGACCCTTGGGAGCACTGGGGCTCAGAACTTTAAACACGGGGGGAGCATTGGGGCTTGTGGAACATTTCAAAGTTACGAACAACCTCCATTCCTGAGGTATCCATAACTCTGAGACTCTAATGTAGTAAGAGACAGTCCCTGCTCTGAGGAGCTGACAGCCTAAATAGGGTGGGAGAACAGAAGTATCATCCTTGTTTTGAGGCATCAAGACTAAAATGCGTTCCTCAAAACCACGCAGGAAATCTTTTGGAAAGTTAGAAATCAAACCTAAATTTCTCGAGTCCTAGTGCAGTGCCTTCACTACGAAGTCCACCTTCCTCTTTCTTGTACTTTGGTAAGAGAAGCAGTGTCTCAAAAGCAATTTATGGCATTCTTTCTGACCAGCCATGGATTCAGCTTTTCTCCAGTTTAAGTGTGTTTTATTCACTGAAATTACACTGGAGAGTGAGAATATCTAGTGTGACCAGACCGTTGGACCTTCTACCCCAGTCAGTACCTGATGGGACATAATCAGGCTCCCTGAGATAGGACAATAAATCTGTGGGTTTGGAAATATTTTCTGATGTATCTGTAATCTTCATCTAATTTTCAAAATGTCCTCCTTTTTTCTTAATCTCTTCATGATGCTTTTTCTCATAAGGAGATATGTCATTCCCCTCCTCCCCTGTAAGCCTATATTAAATATGATTGTAATGTTAGGTGCTCAGATACGACAATGATGAGTGGAGTATGAATGCTTGGAGAGAGACTATTTCTGCAGGGCTCATGTGTTTTTGCTATATCCTAGACACTGCACTGTGTCAGTGGAACTCGGAATATTTGATGAGGTCAGAGAAACACTGATGCACTCGCTATATTGTACAGAAAAATCAATTTGCACCTTAAGGGGTAGATTCTCTATAGGTTTAAGATATGGTTGATGGCTGTAATTTTCCCAGAACTTGGGTGGTGAGGGGTTTTTCACTCGGTAGCCAATTTGAAATAAAGCGTTAGGAGTATTGGAGAGGCAGAACTGGTACACAGTGCCAAATTCTGTACACTTGAAAATGAGGCACCAGCAGGGTTGCTGGAACAATTTTTATAGTGGGGTTGCTGAGAACTATTGAACCAAACTGTAAATCCTCTATATAATGGAAACCACTTCAAGTCAGGGGGTCCTGCTATACCCCCAGCACTCCTAATTCCACTACCTATGGACACCAGTTTGCCAAAATTGGATGCATATCCACATAGAAGTTGATAAGTTTCTAGCCCTGGTGAAGGTGTTGGATGTTAATCCTTGTTTTATTTTCAACATGGAAACATACTCTAAGGGGTAAAAAGATCTTTTAATTATATAGTGTCTCAGGACTATAGGGTTGTTATAAAAGAAAGATTGATTATTATGTTGCCAAAGTGTAGATCAAACAGGCTTTAAACGTAAGAGGTAAATATTATGTTAGGGTTTTCATGCTTCCCGGAAATAAATTCGGAAGCATTCTCTAGAAAATGACTGCAGTGTGTCATTTATACGTTGTGATTGGGATGTTGTTTGAAAACATGTTGCAAGGAATTATGTTAAACCCTTAAAGATTAACCCAAACTACAGATTATGCAAAATTGTGTATGCAGACTGTAGCCTTTGAAGTTTTCTCAAAGCAGCTTTTAATAAAAACAAGTTTCTACAGTCCTAAAATAATCTAGAGGTGACATCAGGTATCCCCATGGAAACTCAGGCTGCATTCCTGTGTACGACTGGGTGGAGTTCTAGAATAGGGAGGTGACCTAGTGACAGGATTAAATCTGTTACTCCAGTTGGCCTGCACCAGAAAAGATTGGATTTGGCCTTCAGCTCAGAGAAAGTCTTTAAAGAAGGAAAATTGGAAAGCTCTGTATCTCATTTAACATACTGTATGGCCCAAGAAGGGTAAAGAGCTCACTGGAGAAGACCTGATTTGATGATCTAGGATACTAAAAACACAAACATCTATTTACATGTTTTGGAGGACCAAAATGTCGGATGGGGTGTCTCTTTGTGGGTCTTCTAAATCTAAATGTTTAGGTGGATTATGATTAAGGCTACGTTTATGTCAC